ATTTCTTCTCTCTCTCTCTCTCTCTCTCTATATATATATATATATATAGATGTCTTCATCTACATTTCAGGATGCGTATACAGTTATACAGATTTGAAGTAAATAAGAGAAGTACAACTTTGAAAACATAGCAAGCAAGCACAGGAAGCAAGCGAATTGCTCTGCTTCTGTTTGAATACGAATCGTGAATCGTTATCTCGGTCGAATGAGATTTATCGCGATGCCATAATTCACCCATTCGACTTTTGACTGTCGAGGCAGATCTCCGTAATGTTCCTTTATTGCATCGGTCCCGTATTCGAGGTATCAGAGGCATAAATTTCTTGTGCTGAACTGCACGCGCGAATTTCGACTACCCTCTTGGATTTTGCCGAAAGGGTTTTAGATAAGTATAAACATGTCTATTCCTGATAAGAGACATTGTCACTAAGGAAAGTCTTATTAAATATTCATTACAGCAATTTTTATAATTATTTTTATAATTAAATATTTCAAATGATATCGATTATAGAAAGTGCATTATAAATTCACTACAAACAAATAATATATTTTTATGAAATTTTCATATTTTTTGAAACATGATTTGAAACTCTTTGAAATATTTTGGTTTATATTTCTCATATACATAATAAAATATAGAATTACTTTTTCTCTTTAAAACGAAAGCATAACACATATGACTCATAAAAGTGTGAGTAAAAAGTGAGCAAACTATTTAAAGCCGCATTACGAATAGGCGTCTAATTAAAACTCTTAATTTAACGAACACACTATTGTTTCTTGCTGTCTTTACTTATTCAATTGCTCAATTTGTTCTTAATTAATAAAAAATAAATAAACCAGGAATATGTTTCGTCTATAATTTAAAAGAGATGAAAATGTTAATTAGGTATTTTTTCCTTTTGTAAAGTAAAAAATTGTTTGTGTAAACGCAAAACATTCGTCATTAAAATGATGTAATACTTTTGAAAAAATACTTGTAAAAAATACTTGTATATTCTCTTAAAAAAATTTTGGATAATATTTATTTCTCCTGTTGGCACATGGTATACATGTTTCTCAATAAAGAAGAACGTAAATTGCTGTAAATTGTAAAATAGTAGGCATTGAAGATAGACGGATGCCTAAGCCATCGTCTATTCGGTGCAGGAGATCTTTTATCAAGGATTTTGGGCTCGATCGCTCGTAAATTTGCGTTTGACCCTTCTTTTACGTCAGGCGGCAAACAAATCATAGTATCAATGCGACACTGTGCCTGCAGATACAAAACTTCCAGCGAGAAGATCGTAGATGGTAGAAAGTTTTAAGTCTTATACACATTCTTTGAATAATTCTTTTAATACTTAAGAATGCTTCTGATCTATTTTCATTTTGTAGCATATATTACACTAAATTAATTTTAATTTTTGTAAAAAATAGAAGAATATTAGTCCAATATAAAGTTATCATATGACAATAAATCATTCTCTCTTAATTAAACAAGCAAATTCCAATCCAATCGTAAAAGAATCTGCAACGAATATTTAGTCGTAAAATACTTGATGATGTCCCCATCATGGCGAAGTTAATTGATTTTAGTTAAAACGCGACGCGCAATGGACGTAATTTCCGAAATTTGTGAATTTCATCGCGTTAATGCGCGGAACGCGCGTAGTCATGGATAACCATATCTCTCACACGAATGGATAAAAGCGAACATTTGAAACGCAGTGCCACTTTGATCTGGGGAGTTCGTTACCATGGCTACTGCAACCGCGTTCAGCAAGGGCCGCAGTTATCCTGGTTGTTGGATTGTTCTCTTTCCCTCTTCATGTTGATGCTTTTCGACGCATCCCCGATGCTATCGTCGCAACGAGAAACTTTAAATGCGAATAAATGCGCTGCGAATAAATAAACTAGACGCTATATCTATCATCGTTCTTTTGGTAAAATAAAAATATCTCTTTGATTTTCGGGAAATTCTTCCGTCATCGTTCATCGTTGGAGAAAATCTCTTTCTGTTTGTTAAAGACCATGTATTTTGAAAGAATAAAAGAAAAAAACTTAAGAATTCTATTTTTGTTAATTATTTTTTCTATTGCAATAGAAGTTTTATATATTTGTATTTGTTATTTGTATATTTTGAACTAGTTTTCTATACAATAAAAATATATAATATATAATGAATTTAATAGCAATATCTTTGTAATTATAAATGTTCTCTCTCTCTTTCTCTCTTTCTCTTTTTCTTTCCCAACATTATATTCTATATTACAATAACTACAATAAATGTATGAGTAATAAATATTATACATATGTTTTTTAAGATAAAAGTTGTTCAAATCTTCTCAAAATTCTATTAATATTTCTATTAATATTTTCTATTAATATCTTCTATTAATTATATTTAAAGTATATTTTTATTAGTCTATTTTTAAAAGTCTATTTTTAAAGTAGAAATATGTATACTTTAAAATATGTGTACTTTTTGTTAAAATATTTAGTTACATTGTAAAAAATTTTACTATAATACTTTGTAAAATAAATTTTACTATAATAATACATTTTACTATAATATTTTGTATGATACAGTATATATATCTCTTCACATTTTTGTAGGAAAAAAATTCCATTCAGCTGCCCTATACAGATATACTTGCATATCATATAAAAATACCATATGAAATTGTGTTATTTTTTGAAGATTTAAAATGTATAATACATGTAATAACAACCTCGCTTTAATAATTTTTTTAGTAATTAAAAATAGAAAACAGAAAAACATATTTAACAGTTTAATAATTTTATATTATTATGCGGTTAAACGATTTCTATTAATTTGTATAATATTATTTTTAGCAATTAGTAGTCTAAAATATTATTATATTTGAAATTTGATCTCACCTCCTTGAGGAAAGAACTGCGAATAGATGCACTTGAAAGTATCCTCCCTGACAACTCCCGTAGGACATTCAGCCTTGAAGCCACGATATATTCTCTTCAGTTCGGCCTCTGTGAATCTGGTCGCTCGACAAAGACTTGCTAAAGAGTCTGGCCTGTATCTTGGTGTTTGTTCTTCCTCGTATTCCGAGTCTGCGAAATAAAAGCAGAACCCCTGTTAATCGTGAAAAAGGAATCGGTAAATTCCGTTCATATATCGCGAATCTGTCGGACTGGAAGCTTTAACAAGATTAAAGAACTTTATTGAAAGCTTGAGATAGAATGCTACATTTTATCAAGATCTTTTGGATCTGATAGAAGTAGCACAACTATTGGTGTGATATTTAAAAGTTGAAAAAAATATAATATTAAATATGAAAAATCTACATTGTTTTTCAAGATATAAATACATTTTCTAAACGACAATATTTTTTTGTTAATTTTTTAAATTATTAAGGTACAAAAAAATTAATTATTTTCTTCTTTTTTCTTAATTATTTTTAATTAAGAATATTAAAAAATTATTATATTAAAAAATATTTAATACCTTCTAAAGATTCTTGAAGTTAAGTATAAATTAATTACTATTAATCTATATTATAAACATTTAAATATATAAAATATATATAAAATAAACTGTATATGCTTTGCAATATTCCTGTTAAATACAGAATTAAGTAACGTGAAATTAGAAAAAAAGCATCCTATACTGATGTGTATATTTTCGACGTTATTGTCACACCAGGATCCGATAAAACTTGACATTACTTTCCTGCTACTATTTCGATTCTAATCTTCTTTTTTTTTCAAAAATGTATGATCAGTCGATGTGGGTATATAAAGCCCGGATTCGACGACACATTGCAGTTGCGAATAGAAATCTGAGATTGAATTGCAAGATTCAAACTCTCGTGTGATATTGCAATCGTCTGCAGTTTCTGTTACATCACACGGAAGTTTTGAATTCCATCATTGATTCTCAGGCTTTTGTATTTGATTGATTTTTGTTATATTTCTAATATAAAAGATATACTTTTATGTAGATATACTTTTATGTAATAAATTTTAAAACTATAATTATGTTTATTACAAAAATACATTATTTCAGAAATATGTCGAATTTTATTGTATATGCTACAAATATATAAGAACTAGAGATTTTAATAAAGTCTTTAATAAAGTTAAGTAACTTCAACTTTAACTTTTTATTAATTTATATAAAAATTAATTTATATAAAATTAATTTTGAGAAAAAATTAATTTTTAAAACATTAAATAAGTATTTTATTATATGAAAGTAAATTTGAAAATTTCATAATATGTTGTATTAGAATTTTGGCTACAATATAGCAATAATTGTTTGATTTTTTTGTTTAAATATAGAGTCTATAGAAATATCGAAAAACGTGATAACTTGCAAAATCTGGAATGTATCGTAATTTATAAAGTATTATAAAAAATGTGAGTAGCGATGCTGCATTACTGCACTGTATTTCCCGTGAGATAGTCCTTTTTATCCAGAAAAAGGTCGTCGAACTTTTAAGAAACCTGAATGTGGAACGACCTTTAGTACAACAGTAAAGCACAGCGTTTATGAGACCAATACTAGGGCGAAATGCGAGCAAGCACAATGTGCTCGACGAGATTTTGTAAAAATTGCTCTTTCTTGTAGTTTGAAAGCCATCCGTTCTATATGTGACTCATGCAACATTTATAAGATTTCATTCAACGTCGTGAGATCAAAGATGAGGTGAATTTTCAAGTCCCTTGTTGCAACCTGGCAATCGTAGCATATGACAGATTTGCAAATTGTATTCCGCAAATATTGCTGTTATTGGAGGATTGCATTAATAGAATGTAAAGTGTATGTGAAAGAGTATTCCTTCTTTATTTTATTATAAAGAAAATCTAGATAAAAGATTTAGATATAAGTTATTTGTCTAGGTGGATGAAAAAGAAAAAAATAGCGCATGAATTCTTTGATAAATGAGGACAGTATATATGTGCAGGGGAATAAAATAGTATATATATATATATACATTTTTTCCCAATATTAAAAATTCTAGAAATATACATTTACAAGACTTTGTATTGAAAGAACGTTGCACATATAATATATAAGCTACTTATTTAAAAAAAAATACAAGTTTAACATGGTTTTCATATTGAAATCAATATAATATATCAACTGTAGTAAGATGTTTTACTTGATGTGTTACTTTCTCGAAAAATATATAAGCAATTATATGTATTTGAATAATAAACAATTTAATACTTTTCTTTCATTTCAATTTTCTGAGGAAAAATATTAACAAAAAATTAGAAAGAAGAAAGAATAAAGTATCTTATATTGTTTAAATAATCTCTTTAATCAGTTAATTGTTAAAACATTTAAATAGAATTTAGAGATTTAAAAAATAAATATGTTTTGCAATTATATTGGAAAAACGTAGTTAGACTTTATGCGATAACAATATTTTGCATTGTATTTTTAAATTAAAAATGAATTTTCGTTATTTTTCAACCAACATAAGCGACTTGAATGAAGTGATTTCGCAATAAATCCCTTCCACATGGTGGAACACTGCCGCGTGCAGAAGTGCACAGTGGAAATCGAAATCGTGCATACGATATCCTGCTTCATACAGCATGGAAGATCAGGGCGGGAAGAGAGATATTTTTGCAATGCTGTTATATATACATGGGAGCTTACGTTATATGTATATATGTTTTTCACAGGAGAGGTTACGGTGAATGGCAAGAGAGTAATTCAGTGTTGGATTTTAAATTGAATCGTCTTGCTCCGACAGCACTGAATTCCTTAAATTCGATCTAGAGACAAATGTAACACAGAAAATGAAAGACAAAAACAAGACAAGCCGAAAATTGGCGCGAAATTCTTTCGTAAGATCTTCGTAAGATGAACAACGCTCGAGGAGAAAGAATCATTTATGTTACAACTTTAGTAATTTTCGGGAGTTTATAACTTTCAATATTCTTAGTTAAAAATAATACGCTTACATTATTGTAGAGAATTTTTTGGAAATTTTTACAGAATCATTATTAATGTTTTTAATAACAACATTTAACAACATTTAACAAATATTTATCAATTAGAAAAATTTATAATATAAATTGTTAGGTAACAATTACATTTTTCATAATTGATCATGTCTCGTAATTATTAATAACAATAAACATTATTCTATACAATATAGGATATAATTATAATAGTAATTTTCAATCTAATATTAGGGAAACTAAGATTCTAGTTCTTTATCATATCTGACATAAAATTCTTAATATTATTTCAACGCTTTTTTATAAAAATAGCATATCATGAAGATCACAAAAATAAAGAAATACCAAATCTAGACTAAATTGTTTCCGTACTTCTCTGCTCTTTCGTGTCATATACTCTTTAAGCAAAGGGTCGGTTTGACCGAGCGTAAATAGGGTCAACGGCGAGGCAACATCCGTTCTACCCTACGTCTCATTCCAGATGATGGTCTAGGAGAGATGAAGACCAAATTGTGGACTTCGATGGTACCTCTTTCGAGATATTGGATCTGTGCAGGAGATGAAAGGCATTCCTCATGGAATGCATCCGTTGCCGTCGGATAGGCAGCGTGTACATCAGTCTCTGTTTCTTGATGAAAGGCTGAACTATTGGAGTTTCCGTCAATGCGTTCATCGACGGGGATTCCGCAGGAATTTATTATACTCTGGCAAATTGGATAAGGATATTCGGCTATTTATAAATGATTTCAGAGAAACCGAGAAATGCTTTTATATATGTATTTTCTTAATAATTTATAATCTTAAGTGGCTTAGAAATTAATTGGGATTTAAAATAAATATACCAAGAAATTATAATTATGCTATTCTTTTGACTATGCTTTAAATATGCTTTAAATATTGCTAATAAGCTATCTCGATAAAGATTTTTAATTCTTTCGTTTTATCCTTATACACTAGAATTTATAAAAAATGTATAATTGTAGATTATTCCAATATTCCGGCTTTTCACGTTAGGAGAGATAGAGTTTTGCATAATCAAATTAATTTACAATGTCTCGCATAAAATCTTGTTTCTTTTAAAATAATCAAATAAAAAAGAAAATGTGATTACATCAAGCAGAAATTGAATTATTATACACATTCATGTTATTAATATGCAGCTGTAATAAATAATATCTGTTAAATAAAAAAATTATTTTTTTAAATATTATTATTGCTGATCAAATTTAATAAATTTTTTAAATTATATATATATATATATATATAT